AGGTCCTCTCTGTGTTACAACCTTAAAACACAGAGGTCATCCCTGCGTTACACCATTAAAACGCAGAGGTCATCCCTGTGTTACAACATCAAAACGCAGAGGTCATGCCCGTGCTTCAGAGTCAAAATGTAGAGGTCATCCCAGCGCTCCAATTAAAAATACAGAGTTCATAGACTCAAAACGCGGAGTTCATCTTTGCGTCCCAACTCCGCGTTTTAGATTTAAAACGGTGTGCGAACATGGCGTTTTTAGCCAAAAACAGGCCTAACTCCGTGTTTCAAGTCTAAAACGCAGAGTTCGGACCCACAACGCTCAGACTGACGTTTGACTCGTTCAAATCACGAACTAAACGGCTTCAAAACGGTTTTCCCCATGATTTGGGGAGCAGTTTAAGGGGGCGGTTACACTCCATTCAGCCCCACTTAGAAGTGAATTAAGAGGATGATTATACCCCTTAATCCCCTATAAATAGGAGTAAACTTAACTGAGTTTAGAGCCTTAGGTTTTGGCAGAAAAGAAGAGATCTTCGGCTGGCTTTTTGAGGGAATTGCTGGAACTTTGGAGATCGGAAACAGGAGCTTTCTTCATCCTTGGTTTACAAACCGAGTTTGGTTAAATCAACTCTTTCATAGAGTTTCAAACTCGTTCAAAGTTATCAACTCATCAAGAGTTCTTTAAAACTTGCCACACAAGTTCTCCATAATGTCAAATTGTGAGGAGAAGACCACGTTCTAGTGAAACAAGACGTTCGGATCATTAACGAGAAGCAAACTTGACGCGAGCATTCGAGGGAGGCATCTCATCGCCACCGTGAAGAACCCAGTTTTAAACAAAAGGGAGAATTTGTATTAATTCTCTTCTCTTTTATAATCGGGAATTCAAATTGTAATCGAGATTGAGAAAATAAAAATCAAATAGAATTCTTTTATTTTTCTTATTACAAATTTTCCATAAACAAATAGGCCTAAAATACTTATTAAATTTGCTCTCCATTTAAAAAATTATAGCTCCAAAAGTATCATCCATATGATATTTGGCAAAAACATTTTGAATATTTAAAATTTGTAAAGCAGCTAATGTAATTGTTGGATAATAACAGCTAGATAATAACATTGTAGCATCATAAAAGACTTGTAACATCTCATTTAAATTACATATAATTATTCATTCATCTTTAGTTATTCCATAAGTACTATCAGAGCTAGAACTAGAAACATAAAATTTATAAGATCATTTATAATTTCTTTATATTCTATTTCTATACTTAACATTGCATAGGTGGAATTTCACCTATGGTCAACATCTTTTGGAATTAGTCTGGGCTTATATTTTTTTCTTTTACAATATAGTTTCTATCTTTTAATTCTCATTTTAGAAGCATTATGCATATTAGTAACTGTTCTAACCTTTTCTATCATGGGTTTAATTTCAAAAAATACACTTTGAATAATTAAATTTAAAATATGACAGATACATCTAACATGAAAAAGTTTACCATGACATGGCAATGACAAAGTTGTTTTGATAAAATCAATAGCTGCATTATTATTACTTGCATTATTTAGTGAAAGATAAAATATTCTTTAATTAATTTCTAGTTTTATAAGTTCTTCAATTATTAAATTTGTAATATTAATACCAGTATATGACTCTTTAATTATAATAAAAGAAACAACTCTTTTAAATATTTGCTAATTTTTATCAATCCAGTGTGCTACGATATATAAATAACTAGTTTGCACTCTAGATGTCCAAATATCAGAAGTTAAAGAAAATTTATAGTTAAATTTTTAAAATAAGAAATTATTTTTCCTTGTTCCTCCTGATAATATTTTAAAATATCACGTTGACAGATTTGACAAGAAAATTTTATAAATACGGGATAAAAACCATCTCTAAACAAATCTTCAAATTCATCATCTTCTACTAATTTAAAATGAATGTTTTTAAGAACGATAAACCTGAATACATATTTCCTGGCTCAAACAGCGTCATAATTCCAACTACTGAGACTACCAGAAGAGGAGGATTGGGAAATTATAGATTGTCAGATATCACCTTGAGGATTCTGGCATTTGTTGTGTTTTTCTATATGGCGTTTGAGGTGGTTGGTGCCGCTCTTATGATGAGCTTGAAAAGTTTGGCCGCACAACACACATTTAGCCTTCTGGGTGATGATCCTACCGTGTTCATCTTTGGTGACGTCTATCTTCTTAAAAAATTCCACACATCGGATCTTGGCCTTTTAGGAGCTCTTGGTGCAGATTCGTCACCACCAGATTCAGGATTAACATTGATAGGAGGAGTAGTTGTTGAATGGGGACTCATTTCTGAATCGGTAGGAGATAGGTTTTGCTCTTCATAATCAGATCCAGAAATCATTTGATGGAAGTATTAAAAAATATAAGAGATTATAAGAGAGTATAAGATTGTATAAGCTAGTATTAGAGAAAAGTAGATGAGTTTTGGTGTGAGGAGAAGAAGTAAAAATCCTCCTCTATTTATAGAGGCAGCCTTCTAGGCAAATGACCAAAAAACCCTCATATTCAAATCGTTTTGACTGTTTTTAGGGGCAAAACGGTCAAAACGCACGTTTTGATCGTTATGACCGGGCCGGCCTGACCCGGCCCGGTTAATTCTGCCTAACGGTCACCAGAGGTATGCTTGTTACCAAGCACAAATTTTGCGCTTCGTACCAAGCATACCCATATTTCTTTTATATATATATATATATATATATATATATAAAGGAAAAATAAAAAAATGCAAACTGAATTCTTGTAATTTACCTTTTCAAAGACCTCCTTCTTGAACTCCTTGGTCCCCTTAAAGATTTCCTCCATAGTCATCGACGCAGCAAGAACCCTCGTCTCCCCCTCAATAACACCCTGCACCAACTCCTTCACATGGTTCGAGTTCTTGTCGTGCGACGACATGAGCTTTGCGTACTTCATCATCATCTCCATCTCATCCTCCTTCGGCCCAATGGTATGCTCTCCTTTCTTGGTCTTTCTCTCTTATTTTTCAACTTCTTGTAGAATGTTTTATGCCAAACCAGACTGTCTAAGCAGATGATCTAGCACATACATCTCCACAATCTCAAAGCATATGAGAGGAACGCTTGCTCTCTATATAATTTGGCCCTCCATGCAAATTGGTTGTAAATGAGCAAGGTGGTCATCATTTGGCTCCCTATCAAACTAAAAAATGTTATACATAACAATATTTCATTAAAAATTGGTGGTAGATTGATTTTTTAAAAAAATAAAATTTGATACCTGATAAATCTTCATGTTACCAATCTCATTTTTGTAAAAATCTAACTATCTTTCCTACACTGGTAGAAAAATGAGCAACCTAGATTAAATTTTCCATCTAGGTTGTTCACGATTTCGTCTAGTTTGATCTATCTGGACGCATTCTGTCTAAGAAAGTCTGTCTAGAATAATTCTGTCTAGTTTGACTCAAACTAGAGGGAATTCTGTCAAGATAGATCAAACTAGATAGAAAGTAACCTAGATGGAATGAGAAAAACTATCTAGGTTGCAACCTAGACGGAATTCCATCTAGGTGTAGGCGTCAAAAAATACTTGCAGACATCCAAATACCATTCAAAACAACATGCGAGAACAATTT